CCCCAAAACCCCAAAACCCCAAAACCCCAAAACCCCTTATTTAAATTTTATCCTGAAATTCTATACCATAAATATAATTGCCAGCATGAATGCAGGGCTTAGTAAGGAAAGCGTCCTTCAAGTGGAAGGGCTTAACCCCCGCTACCTCCTCCTCCGATGCATCGGAGGAGGCAGCTACGGCAATGTTTACTCCGCTAAGGACAAGACCACTGGCGGGCTAGTGGCTATTAAGGTGATCCCTTCCTTGTTTGACGACTTGGTTGACTGAAAGAAGATTTTGAGGGAAATCAACCTAATGCGGGAGATTGAGTGTGAGTATGTGGCCAAGATGCTGGACATGGGAATTATTGGAGAAGAGGATAGTTTCGATAGTGTCTACATTGTCATGGAGTATGTCAAGACTGATATGAAGTATATGCAGTCCAGAGAGGAGAAACTAAATCTGCCTCAGGTAAAATAAGTTGATGTATTCATTCTTGTGAGGGCTCAAGTATCTTCATTCTGCACATGTGGTTCACAGAGATATTAAGCCTGCAAATCTGTTAGTAGACAAGGATAGAGTTAAGATATGTGATTTTGGACTTGCCAGAAGTCTTGAAGGGGTCTATGAAGCAGAAGATTTAGAGTATAGCAAATCCTCAACTCTGAAAGGAGCTTCAGCTTTTCTCTCTAAGAAAGGCAACATCGAGAATAGGATTAAGCCAAGGAAGAGTTTGGCCTTAAACTCAAATAGTCCGAAGAAAATTGATATGGCCAATTTGAAGAAAACTTCTACGATGAGAAAGGATAGCTCAGACATTGAAAACCAAAGTGCTCTATTGAATCTAAGAGGCCATCGAGATAGCCTTGATTCGAATTCTTCAAAGCTTGGCATCAGTAGACTTAGCTTTAGTTCTATAGGGCCAAAGTATGTTGAGAATAAATTTGTTCCAGAAGAACCAGCCGAGCCAAGAAGAAAGCTAAAGAGGAAATTGACTTCTCACGTTGTCACTAGATGGTATCGATCCCCAGAACTTGTTCTTATGGAGAAACATTATTCCTATGAAATAGATATATGGTCATCTGGGTGAATCTTTGGAGAGCTAATCAGGATGATCTCATCAGATACTGAATATAGTCTACATCAATCAGCATTATTCCCAGGAATGTCTTGCTTTCCCTTGTCACCATGTGAAGAAGAAGATAACGAGGACATAATAGAGGGATATCCAATTAACTCTCACGACCAGATCCAAAGTATATTTGATATAATAGGAACTCCCTTGAACAAGCAGGCTTATAGTTTTGTGAGTGACGAGTCTGCTCTTGAATATCTTAGGCTGATTCCCCCAAGAGCTCCTATTCCTTATGGAGATCTGTTCCCAGAAGCTAATGATGATTGTCTGGATTTGCTGGATTTGATGCTCGAATTCAATCCTGAGCAGAGATGTTCAGTTGATATGCTTCTTGAACATCGTTTCTTTAAGGAAATCAGAAATAAGAGGAAAGAGAGGGAGGCTAAAAGCCCAATAGTTTTAGAAATTGATGAATACGATGAGGTTGACGAGGACTTGTTGAGGCAAGGCTTACTCAAGGAAGCTTATGCATATAAGAACTAGTAATGGGTTATAATTTCTGTGAGATTTATGGTAGGCTACTCAAGAAAAAATATTTTAGATATTATTCATCAAAATTTAATCTTTCTATACTTAGTTTTTAAATTGGGGTTTTGGGGTTTTGGGGTTTTGGGGTTTTGGGGTTTTGGGG